GATAACTGTCTCTCCCAAAAGATAGTACAATCCATTTCTTCTTGGTCCCTTAAAGATTACCAAAGATCCCTTCATAACTTTCAAGGTGTTATTTTCAGACTTGAAAGAATGTCCCTCATCTTCAAGAGATCCCAACGAAATGAGGTTTCTTTTCAAATTTGGGACATGTCTCACATTCTTTAATTTCCTGACCATGCCATCCTGCATTCTGATAGCAATGTCACCAATACCGAAAACACTTTGAGAGTTATTATCGCCCATATATACTTTCCTAGGTTCAATTTCTTTGTAATTTTTAAACCATGATTTATTAGGACACATATGGTATGTACACCTTGAATCCAAGATCCGGTCCTTATCAACTTCTTCGTCAGACACAGTCATTACAAGAAGACTGTCTAACTCAGAACAAATTGCAAAATTATTCAAATTTTCATTATTTTGATCTTTTGATTTCTTTTTCAATTCAAAGTAATCATGTTTAAAGTATCCCAATTTCCACAGTGATAGCACTTCTTATTACTTCTATCTCGTGATTCAAATCTAGTTTTTGATTTAGATTTGAATCTTCTGTTGTTCGAGTTACTTTCCTTCTTTTCAATTCTTCCTCTCATAAACATACTTTCCTCCCTTGTATTTCTAGATTCTCTCTTGATTTCCAATTCTCGAGATCTTAATGCATTAATGACAATAGATTGCATTAAATCATCTCTTGAATATTTTATTACATTCTTAATATCCCTATAGGAGTCAGGTAGGGAATTAAGAAGGATCACGGCAAGGTCCTCATCTTCAAATTTTTTGTCATTATGGGAAAGGCTTTTAACCAAAATTTTAAAGTTACTCAAATTAGTTTCCAAGTCTTTTCCAACATCCATTCCGAAGCTAAATAGTTTCTCTAAGAGGTAAATTTTATTTGGCAGCGTCTTAGTCAGAAACAAAGTATCTAATGCAGTCCATAATTCTCTAGCAGTTTTGTGTTCCTCAACTTGTCTTACAATGTTATCAGATAAGTGCAATATAATAGAACTATACGCAATTTCATTCATATCTAGAATTTCATTAGGCTTAGCTTTCAATTCATCAAAAAAAATTTCTGGATCTTCAAGAGCTTTAGCAACCCTTTGTTGGACCAATATGACCCTGATTTTCTGCTTCCAAACCGAGTAACCCCCCTTCCATTGAATTGAGACAATTCGACCTTCGAACCCATTATAGGTTCTGTAAAAGAGTGGCTACTACTCGCGGACATAAGTGATTTTTTAATATTTCAGATCACTTAAGTTGCGAAAAAAATTTTGCAGATAAATTCAGATAAGCAGATGACAGAATGAAAAACACAGTTGTATAGCATGTACAAATTGAATAACAGCAGGATTAATTTCAGATTTTTAACAGTTGGTACCAAACAATCAATTTACAGAAAACTGAAATATCATAGTACATGTTTCTATTCCAATTAAACAATTTATTCAATTCTTGACCAAATTCAAACCACAGTAATATTCACATATTCACATATGATTCAAGAACACATGTAAATAAAGTACTATGAACAAAATTGGAATAATCTCACCAAATACTGTGTATAACAGTATTAAATCCACTCCAGTGATTACTGCAGAGTCGAAATCCAAAACCCTAGCTCCAAGAACTTCTGTTCTAATTTCTTATTGGACTACACAGATCAATTAAACACATCAGTATGACAAAAAATTAAACTGCATTTACAGATTCCTTACCCACGCCTTACTAAGCTCTGATACCAGTTTTGTTGAATTTTTTCACCCAATATCCGATTTCTGTCGTCAATTCTCACGCACAGCAGGAATAAAAATCACGCAGAAAATTAAAGAATACATGAATTGTTCACCCAGTTCGGCCAAGCCTAATCTGGGGGGCTCAGAGGCAAAAGTTCCAAGCCCGTCACTATGTAAGAACCTCACAACAAAGAGCATTAGTTTGTTTACAAGGTTCGGATCTCAACTCACACACAATCAGATCATCAGTCCAACAAAAGGATCTCACAATACTCCACCAAATCGAAACCTGACCTAGACCAAAAATAGTATCTGACTTCACAGTTTAATATCTACCGAAACAAGGTAAAAAAACTTCTCAAATACAACACCAAACATCGGCTATTACTCGTTGAAAAATGGACCAATTTTCCGGCCAAAAGACCACCGGACCATAGACCACAAAACAGCCGAAATACTACAGTTGATACCCCATCAACACCGGTCAGAATTTCAGATTTAATACAAGAGAAAAACTCCTTGTGAAATCACCAAGAGAGACCCTTCGAGAGAGAAAGAGAGACGAGAGGAAGAGAAAATGAAAAAAATCTGCCTTGTTGAAAAAGCCGTCCACCATGTTTTAATTAAAAGGGGATCTAATTTCAACCATTGATTAAAATCAATGGTCCATGTTTTTTCCAAAGAAAAACAAATCCATGTGAAAATTAATTTGCCAATAGGAAATTGCCATGTGGCCAACAAGTTGTAAAAACATTTTGGCACCTTTAAAAAATGTGTTTTGGTTTTGAAAACATTTCACACAATCATAAGGAGCTTTGTTGTGGCTGATGAAAGTGAGCGAGAAGAGGTAGTCGAGCCTGGTAGAAAAGTGGGTTCATCCATCCTAAAACAAATACTCTTATCGTGAACAAGTTTGTCTGCTTCAAAAATCTCTAGACTAGTAAGTACTTGTTCTAAATTCTTCATTATTGATTATTTACTGTTGTATTTTATCTTCGATTGGTAATATTAAAATTAGCTCAAAGTAGAAAGTCCACTCCGAAGTAAACGCATGCTACTGGCTTGGAAACTTTCAAAAATCCACATCCCTGGCTAACTCGAAGCAAGCTTTACAGTCCTAAAAGGATGATGAAGGAAGTTCAACTCGTGATCATGGATGGATTTCAAAACAGGCTACAAATTTATACCAATACGATTCGTCTGATATATAATCACTCAAAGTCTCAGAAAAAACTTCTAGACCATATTTCATCAGCTTCAACAGCTCAATTTCACCCCAAAAATCATTGTCGCCGTCATTATGAAAAAATGTCAACTTTTCTACCACCATCTTTGCCGCCAAAGCTGCAGCTGCCTGAATATCCCTAGCGTTGCATGTAGAGGGCCACGGTAAAATCTCAACTTCATCCGAAAAATTGAGTTGCGCCTTTTGTCCTCTTAGACAATGTGCAGCTACATCATATGCTCTAGCTGCCATTTCTTGTGTTGGAAATGAGCCTAGCCATATACCTTTTTTTTACCTTAGCTCCCGAATTTCCCATCGCCTTTTCTAAATGCCACGATACAACGGATGCCTCTTGTCGGCGACTCTCATGTGGTGTTTAGGACAATTTTTTTTATCAGTAAATGTGTAATATATTGATAAAAAATCATGTATAGGTACACAGGGCATACCCAAATAATTAAAGATCAAGTAAAAATACAAGTACACTGGGCATGTCTAGGCAATCAAGAATCAAGTGCATATACAGTTGCACCGGACATACCCATGCAAACAAAAAGAACCAGTGTACAAACAAATAGGTCTAGCAACCTAACGCCATAGACTCAAAATAAAGTAGAACATATGGATACAAAGAGAACATGACTTTGCGTACGTGTATTTTAATCCATCTAATAAAACTGTCAACTTGCGGAGTAAGGTTCTAAAAAATCTTCTTGTTTCGAGCCATCCACAAATGGTAAACAGTGTTAGTAAAAGCAATCTTCTTAGCTATAATATACCAAGTCGTCCCTCTAACCTCCTTTTTAATCCACTTCAATGCACTAGGGATAGTAGACATAAGCGCCTAATGCCAAGCCAAGCACGGATCTTTCCCCAAATGTGAGCACTAAAATGACCGGTGAAGAATAAGTGGTGGTCCGTCTCTGTCCCAGCTCCACAAAAATTGCAATTCAAATCAATTTCTAAGTACCTTAATTTGTCCTTAGTTGACAATTTGGACTTAGCACCAAGCCATAAGATAAGGACATGTTTAGAGGTGATGAAAGGATTCCAAACAATTGCTGTCCAAGCTATTTGCGACCCCTTCGACCTAAAAAACTCATATGTGGCTAGAACGCAAAACCTGCATGAAGCTGTCCAGTTCGATAGCACATCCCGTGCAACCTGAAAAGTACTTTGAGACTATATAATTTGATCTTCACTTCCAGCAACTTTTTAATCAGTAGAGAATCTTATTTTCTAGCCTTTACTCTTAATTATCAGTCCCACGAGGAAAAAAATGATTTACCCATTTAATCCAAAGTGTATCTTTCTTGCTATGGATGTTCCAAAGAGTTTTAGCAAGAAATGCCAAGTTCCAACATTTTTCATCCCTAAAACAAAGGCCTCCATCATGTTTTGGCAAGCAAATATTACTCCACGAAACCAATAACTTCTTAAATCCCCATAGAAAATTACGACAAAGACTAACAATCTTTGATGCAATCGTGATCGGAATTAGTAGAATAGAAAGCTAAAAGCATTCCACACCTTGTAGAATGGATCTCACTAATTTTGCTCTCCCTGCATAAGATAAAGGTATCCTCAACCATGCTTCAATATGTACTGAGATTTTGTTAGTAAAGGAGTCATAAGAGCTAATTTTCAACTTCACCGCTGCAATGTGGTATTCCCAGATAATGAAAAGGCATAGATCCCTTTACCATATTAGTTAGTTGGTAGATGTCCTCCAATTCTTGGCCATGAACTCCCATCGTATACAAGTTAGACTTGTTCACATTCATCCTTAAACCCATCATGCCTCCAAATTTGGATAAGCACTCCATCAAGATACCAACCGAAGTGACATCTCCTCTAGCATAAAGCATCAAATCACCGGCAAATGCTAAGTGAGTTATCTTCAAAGGGCTGTATTTAGAATGATAATTAAACTCACTATTCTTTGTTGTTACCTTTAGCATTCTAGAGAAATACTCAAGACAAATAACAAACAAAAATGGTGATGGAGGGTGACCTTAACAAAGCGCCCTCCTTCCCTTTATGAATCCAAGAAGGCTTCCATTAATCGCTATGGAGTAAGTAGCCGTAGTTATGCATTTCATCACCCATCCAATGAATTTGGTTGGGAATTCGAGCCCTTTAAACACCCTTTTCATGAAATTCCAATCAACCAAGTGATATGCCATCCTAAGATCAATTTTAAGAAGGCATCTAGGAGCAACTCTCTTTCGATTGTATTGCATAAGAAGCTCTTGAGCAAGGTGGATGTTTTCCATTATACTTCTTCCTTTCATAAATGCAGCTTGTGCTTCATCAATAATAGTATCAAGAGTATGGCCCAAACGAGAAGCAAGGACATTGGTAATAACCTTTTAAATCACATTACAACATGCAAAAGGCCTATAGTCTCCCATGGTGGTCAGATGATTAGCCTTAGGCACCAAAGCAATGATCACATGTTTAATTTGTTAAGCAATGGGCTAGAGTTAAAGAATTCTTTGACCGCTTCCACAAATTCTCCACCAATAATACTCCAAGATTTTTTGAAGAAGCAAGATGAATAATCATCCAATCCTGGATATTTATCATTCCAATAGAGAATAATGCATCTTTGATCTCTTGTTCGAAGACGTCCCAAATTAGTGCCAAGCTTTGCTCTTCCGATAACATAGAACCACTCCTCCATATGTCAATGTCAATCGGTTCTCTCGGGCTATTTTTCCCCAGTGAGTCCTTGTACAATTGTAAGAATTCATCGACCATTGAAGAAGTAAATGCTTCGTCATCTTTACGTACCATAGCAATAGATTTCTTTTTGGCATTCCTCTTTACCATCGAATGAAAGAATTTGGTGCATTTATCACTATTCTTTAGGTACTCACATTTAGCCTTTTTGTAATAAAAACTCCTTTCTGCTTCACATAGATCCATAGCTTTTCTCCTCATGCACGCCACACTTCTTTGGAAATCAACATTAAGGAGATCATCATGTAATGCCACTTGCGCCTCTTTCAAAGCCAAGGTAGCCATTTCGGTCCTTTTTGATATGTGGGCAAAATGTTTCTTTTCTATAGCTATGGGGGTTGTGGAGCTACCAAAAGACTGACTCTCCATTACAAAAGTTATCTTTTGCTAGGGGATATCCTTCTTTAATATTTAGGACCTTATAAATAGGAACTTGCTCTGATTCTAATTTGTTTCAACATAATGGCATAGTAAACTTTTAAGGGATATATCATTGTCACATTTAAATGTTTTTTGTCCCTGAAGGTACGAATGTCACATGTGCTGCCCTACACGAGATATTAGTGAACTTCTTTTGGTGTAATGCAAATTACAGACTCAGCCTTTTTCTTTCTTTCGTCCCCTGTATCAACTGTCCTTGAATTTTACTGCACCTTCTGTTCATTCTCACTTTCAATAGAAATTCATGCTAATATTGATTTTCAACTTAAAAGGATATTTGTTCTATATGGTTCAATTTTACCGTAATAAATATTTTATAAAGAAATTCTACGATATGTGAGTTAAATACATGAAATTGAAATGAAACAAACGAAATTAGGACTGCTTTAAGTGTACTGCCAATACAAAGATTACTAAGAGGCCGCATTCAAGAAAGGAACAAAATGTAACACGTTATGTTGTATGTTCAGAAAAATATCTTTCAAATTAAAACTATCGCAAGTGTATAGTTTGCTAACAAGTAATGCAATGGATTTGAGTCCAAGTATTGTCCTATAGAGATTGATTTAGTTTGATATTAATTATCATGATCTTACTGAAATAATTGATGTGTTTGTTTGTGATGAAATTATAACCAAGATGATCTACTTATGTAATTATGAGCAAATTAACCAAGCTAAATGCAAATTGTGTTGAACATAAGTTATTATGTTATAATGTATGACAAGTGCACTAGAATTGCGATTTCTTGTGCCATAATCCGTTTTATCTTTAGTTCTACACTTTGATGACATGGTTAAATTTTGAAGAATCAATGTTCCTATTTTATTCAACAATCTCTCTCCAGTAATATTAAATATGCTCTCATATATAACCCGATTATATTTCTATGATGGATGCAAACATGCAAATTGCATAAATTTTTTAACACTTAAAGATTCACATAGAGCATAACGGTAAATTTTTATTCCCTATCGAAACCAATGACAAATTACCCATGTCGAGCCTATTTTTCTACTTTCGAATGCATAAAATAAGCCACAAATTCATACAACTACCATGCACAATAATTGTATAGAAAAGATAATCATGTAAATCATTGAAAATTCAAAAATGTGTTTTCAATGTCAAATATATAAAACTAAATATTGAAAATTCATATTACAAGGTTCATCGTTCTCTTAGTACAAAAAAATCTAACCTAACGTGTTGTGAAGAAGAAAGTTAAAGATATAAAAGCTATTCATCACGTGAAAATTCTTGAATTCAAACTTGATGTGTTCTTTGCTTCCTTTTGCAATTAATTCTTCCCCTTAATTATATTTTGAAAGTTGGTATTTATAATCTCTCTAAAGATTCCCAAAAATGTCTCTAAAAATCATGCATATCATAGCCCAACAGAAGTTTCATTGTTGGAATTAAATTCTGAATGAAACAAAATTTTCTAGTCCACTTGGCTTGGGTGGGCTCCTAGTAGGAAATGGAGTTGCCGCCTAAGCATACTAGGCAGCCCTTGTAATTGAAGTTAAGTACCAAGCGGCTGCCCAACCTATATAACTGGGCATCCGCCCAGTTATAAAAACTTCTAGAAATTTTCTTTTAGCCATTTTCTTCATTCTTTTTTTCATCTTGATCCTCCATGTTAAATTACTTTGATTTTGGTCCATCAACTTTTATTCAAATGCATATTTGTCCACAAACTTTCATCCATTGGCCAATTGATCTGTCTTTTTTCCAGTTGTTTAGAAACGAGTCCAAAAACTGAAACAAAATAAGATTAAACTTCTTTTTTTCAATTGTTTAGAAACGAGCCCAAAAACTGAAACAAAATAAGATTAATCTAAGTTAAGTATTCTCTCTTTCCTTTTGGGTGAGTATGGATTAAACGTGTTTTCGGTCACACAATACTTAGAAAAGATGTATCCAAGTCGGATGATTCAATTAAATCACTCAACTTTAACTTACTTACAAATCAAGTTACCTATTTTCAATTAGGGGCCATCAATGTTAAGTTATTGAGCCTAATTATTGTCACTTCACAGAGCTAGCATAAGGATCGACCTTCATGGTGATGTCGTCGTGGGACTTGGAAGGGGGCGGAACCCTCAAACCAAACGGTTTAAGAATTTGTGTTCTTGAGATTTCGATTTTACCCTAATATGTTTTATAAATAGTCAGCCATGATTAGACTTTTAAATTATCATCATAAAAGAGAGAAATGAAATGTTAGAGAAAATAGGTGTGCTATTTTCTCCTGTAAATTTCTTTTTATCATAATAAATTACTAGAGCGACGAAAGAAGACGTAGTTTCACATTGAGGCGAATTTTTATACATTGTCCGTGTCTTTAATTCTTTATGCTATTTAATTGCTCTCGATAGAATAGAATTAGAGTTTCTAGTTTCAGTGAACTTCAGTTTGTTTGCAAATAAGGTCATTCTATAAATTGTTGCGTAAATCTAACTAATGTTAACTAATGTATGGTTACCACATACGCTCAAGTCACACAACAATACACATCAACTATCCTAAAATATTTTCTTAAAACAATACTTATAAATTCAAAGAACATTTTGTAATATCACATAATTTTACATTCCAAATTTAAATTGACAGTAATAAATAAAGTGACTAGATCTGCAAATAGATCGAAGTTAGGTAAGTTATTTGTATCAAATTGAAGATCAGTGACTAAATATGGAAGAAAATTGAAGTTGAGTTATTTGTTTGTACCAAATTAAAGACAAGTGATATATATGCACTTTTGTTCGAAGTTGGATAATCTGGTACATTTAATCAACGTGCGTATGAACAAGAGGATATGCATGTACTTGGCCCCATAGTCAATAATGATGTCAGTAGAAGCACGTTTGTTGTACGATGATTTTTATAATAAGTTTGACAACATCCTGCGCGATAAGTTATCATTGAACAGTTTGAAAAATACTTTTATCTTTCTCACCAACACTTTTTTGATACCTACACCATTATCAAGCATGTTGTACAAATGGCTTATTCCCGAAGCAATTGTCCTCGATCTTGTGCCAAAAATAAAAAAGAAAAAAAGAAAAATCCTACAAAACATTAAACACGTTAAAAATTTAGGTAGTAGATTTTTTTAGAAGAGATTTTGTAAAAAGTAATTTTTTTTTTAGAATATATGTGATTAAAAAGTAGAAATTTATGGATCCACGTGCATAATTATTTTGCTGAGAGAATGCGTAATTGAAAATAATCATAAAGAATTTGTACAAACATACTTTTTCCATTACCAAAATAAAAACAAATATAGAAGCCAATAATAGTGACCTTACTACAAACTCTCATGCGTGTATATAAAGATTTCTTTTATGATATCTACATAGTTAATACACGTTATGAAATTGTTGTTATCGATTATAAAGTCGTAACATTTCTATCACTAAACGACAATTCTTGAAATGATATATACACTTGATATGGTTACTGAGTATTGAGGTTTCGTATTAAAATATAATATGCCTCATCGTTAATTTTTAAGGAAAAAATTTACTCTTCTTTCAATCTCAATTTCAACTTAATAGACGACAATAGCAAGTTTAGGAAATAAAGGAGCACGAAGAATGATATGTGTGAGTAATTTTTACCTTATTAATAGATAAATCAAATTACTTCGATATCTTTACAGTCAGACTTAAATTCAAGACAAATATTTCAATTTTAATTGATATCAAAGTTTAGGAGAAGCCTAAACCTTACTAAATTACTACTAAAATTATATGATTTTTTTTTAATATTGATATATAAATCTAATTACTTCGATATTTTTACAATCAGACTCGAATTTAAGACAAATATTTTTAGTTTTAATTAATATAAAAGTTTAGGACCAACTTATAGACATACTCCCAAAATTTTATGAATTTTTTTTTTAATAAAAAATCTCACTTGACTTTACACAGTATTTTAGAATTTCAAAACACTTCAAACGAATTTTTAAAATTTTCCCGATTTGAATGGTATTTTCGTAAGTTGCACAACTTCTTTTAAGGTACATCAACCCATGTCTACAAGAAACGAATGGCCCAAAATTGTTTTGGGTACTCTCCATTTTTGTGGGGACCGACCTTTTAAAAAGACCCACACTGCTTTTGGTATAAATTAGATTCTGTTTTACTACCATTATTATAAAACTCTTTTTTTTAAATATTCATTTTCAATAAAACATTCACACAATAAAATATTCAGTACATAAACCTAAATTTTTCCCCTACTTTCTAATTACATATTATCCAAAAAATCATTATTCGAAACTTTGTTTCCCCATAACAATAGTTGTCAAATAGGGACTATATCAATGGTTTCAAGAATTCCACTCATTTGGACCGTTAGGTCGGCCTTAAAATTTTGGAGGCGTTGGACAAACTATTTTATAAAGGGGTCCTTTGATAAAGTTGAAAATAAAATTTTATATAATGATTGTAAATAATTTCTTATACTAAACAAATACATTCAAAATTTTAAACTTTCAAAAGTTCTCTTTAAATTTATTCTTCTAGCTTTCTTCAACAATTAAATTACTACAAACAATCAATTTTAACGTACGTTTTTAAATAAACAACATCTCCAATCATCTCTTGTGACATTATTAATAGAAGACAAGATTTTCTAAACTTCAACTTTGAGAAACTTCTACATGCAGAGGCAACTTCAATGATATTCAGCCCCCCGGGGCACATCCAAGTTGGCAAAGGAAGGACAGTGCGGGGCTCGCAACCCCAGCGTGGGGAGTTCGATTCCTGGTTGGAGCAGCTGAGTGTTGTAATAATCAGAGGAAGGGTTGGAGCAGCTTGGTGATGTAATAACCATGGAGGAGGCTCCCTTGGGGTCAGGAGTATAAAGGCTGTTCGAACCCTGGTCAACTTGGGCACATCCCGCGATTTACCTCC